GCCACAAGGAGCTCAACCTACGGGGGCAGCTTTACTAACTGCAGGTTGCCAGCTTGCATGGGAACCTTGAAAGGCTCAACCCGCAAGGGCGACTGTAGTCTGTTGGCCGTCGACTCCCGCGAGAGCCACGGAGGGCTCGACCTCGCGAATAGGACTGACAAGGCTCGTTCGGGCTGATTACGTGGGTCGCCAGGTCGGCGTAGGTAGGTCGCCATCTCGGTGGCAGAGGCAGATCGCTAGGTCGGTGGAAGTAGATTGTTAGGTCGGCGGAAGCAGGTCGCCAATTCGGAGGCAGGTCTCTAGGTCGCCAGGTCATCGGAATTTTGACAGTCTAGTTTTTCTCTAAGCACCTCAACCTACAGACACCTCGTCACCTCGACAGGACTGACCTGCGAGGGCAGTTCCACAACTTTTTGGCCATCAACTCCCACGTAAAGCATGGAGGGCTCGATCTGCGGCGCGATGTCACTATTTGTTGGCTATCAACTCCCACGGGAACCATGGAGGGCTCGACCTGTGGGATGACCTCACATTCTGTTGGCCGTCAACTCTCGCAGAGGGCACGTAGAGCTCTACATATGGGGGTGGCCTCATAGTTAGGGAGATTCTGTCCGGGCAAGACTACAAGAACTCGTTTGGGCTAATCATTTTGCTTCAGCCCCCCTAGGGGGTTCTTTCGATCAAGCGCTGTTGTTGTTGCTTGGAGATGTTACTACTGAGGCTCAGAGAATCGAGTGAGAACATAGCCTTTTGTAGCGTTTCCCACAGACGACCCCAATTGATGATGGGCGTTTTGGCAGTTCCCAGCTAACTAGTGACTCAGATGCCTAGCTGAATAATCCCTAATTGAATAATCCCTACCTAGAATGTGGCTTGGACGCCTAGCTGAATGGTTCCTACCTGGAAGGTGGCTTGGACGTCTAGCTGAGTGGTGACGAGCTGGAGTGGTGGAGAGGTGGGTCTGATGCTTAACTGAATGGTGATGAACTGGAGATGTGGCTCTGATGCCTAGCTGAACAGTGATGAGCTGGAGAGGTGGCTCTGATGCCTAGATGAATGGTGACGAGCTGAAGAGGTGGCTCTGATGCCTAACTGAATGGTGACGAGTTGGAGAAGTGGCTCTAATGCCTAACTGAATGGTAATGAGTTGGAGAGGTGGTTCTGATGCCTAGCTGAATGGTGACGAGCTAGAGAGGTGGTTCTGATGCCTAGCTGGATGGTGACGAGCTGGAGAGGTGGATCTAATGCCTAACTGAATGGTGACGAGCTAGAGAGGTGGCTCTGATGTGACCTGCAAGGAAACTGTGTCAGAGTGCCCGGGTTGCTTTACCTGGGGTGGGCACTTCGATGCTTAAGTCCGCGAATCAGAAATTTTAAGATACCTAAATGTGAGAGAGATGGAGAGTTGCGAGAACTAAATTGCGCATCTACCTAGGTCTCAAGGGCCGATGCCCTTATATAGTTGGGTTGCCGTGGGTCTCGCAAAACACTCCCAGAATCCTCGACCCACGACGTAGGGGTCTATTCTGCTTTGGAAGGAGGATAACGTGCCAGTTAATAAGGCTTACCATTTCCCTCCGATTCGGGCGGGATGAGGATAAGGCCTACGGTTACGCGGCGTAATCCTGGAAGGTTTAGAGACAACTAACAAGCTTCTAGAGAGGTAGGGCGCCAAGTCGGCGACAGAGGCAAATCGCCAGGTCGCCAGGTCGGCGATAGAGGCAAGTCACCAAGTCGCCAGGTCAACGGCAGAGGCAGGTCGCCAAGTCAGCGACAGAAGTAGGTCTCTAGGTCAGCGGCAAAGGCAGGTTGCCAGGTTGGCGGCAAAGGCAGGTCGCCAACTGGGACCCCATTTTGGCTAAGGCAAGTTAGCGCCTAGGTGATGTTGGGATGTAGTCTAGTTGTTCTGATATGCCATGTGTCATGATGTTAGTGGAGGGCCAAATCTACCCTCATCAACGAGCAGGTACCCCGAGGGCATTTACCTTATTAGGGATGTGACCGTCAAGGGGTTCTGCAATTCAGCTAAGTACCTCAAGAGCAAAGCTCATCATGTCGTCCTCAAGAAGGGGTTCTAACTGTGTGATTGCTTTATTAGGTCGCTCCACTTAGGTAGACTTCGACGCAGTGTCCTTCGAGCTGGTTCTCAAAAGAGTAGCTAGCGAGTTTGATGCGGAGCCTAAAACCTAGGTGGAGGTCAACTGTGAAGAGATCGGCCAAGTTTGCGTCTGTCATGATGTCGAATTGGTATGCTGAACGGGTGTTGTATTTTGTCCTCCACTCCATTGCGTAAAAATTTTCTAAGTGTGGATTACCCCAAGGTGCCGAACTGGCGGGCTAGGCATAGTTAGGAATAATCCGAGGTTAATGTAAGCCGAGGGGCGTTGACACTATAGGTATATACCCGACCTATATGCACACCGATGAGGCTGAACGTGAACTGCTTTTTATTTCGCCCATGCCAAAGAGGCGACTGGGTATATGCCCGAGTTGATGTGGATTTTTCTAAATGTGGATTACTCCTGAAGTGTCAAGCTGACGAGCTAGGCCTTAGTAGGAATAACTCGATCTCAATGTACACCGAAGTGAACAAACATTGTAGGGTATATGCCCGACCTGCCTGCGCACGAGATACTTTCTTATTTGCCCATGCCGAAGCGACTGGGTCTTAGCACGCCTATGCCGAGGAGGCGACTAGAACTTATCTGCCTATGTCGGATAGGCGACTGGGACTTATATTGTGCTGAGGTCTTTTGTCAGCTGGACACCATAGCCCTTAGGCTTTGGGAGCGACTCATAGTTCGCTCTCCATTATATTATTTAGCTGACGTGCGGCCTGACCAATTCTTTTAAGCGGGTGGTCATTCTGTTGTACCCTTAGATGTGGCTACTTCTACATCATCACTTGAGATTGGCTTCCTCAGGAAGGTGCTTGCAAGATCATGGCATACTGCTCCTGGAACCGCTGACTATCTGCTTCAATTGGAGTCATGGGAGGCTCACCTCGAGGGGGCAGCTCTACTGTCTACGGGTCGCCTACTCTCACGGGAACCATAAGGGGCTCAACCTATGAGGGCGGTTCCACTTTCAACTCACTTTCAACTTGCTTCCAACTCTCAGGGGGCCCATAAAAGCTCGATCTGTAGTGAGGCTTCGCAATTCGGGCTGGAAGTAGTCTGGGTCAAATCGCTGAGGCTTGCCCGGGCTGGTTATTCATTTCTGTTCTGTTTGCAGGTTTTGCCATTACTTTTGATGTCAGATGATAAGTTGATGCCGCGGTTGCACTGCATCAGCCCTCGAAGACTCTAGTCGTCAACTCCTACAAGAAGCCATAGGGAGCTCGACCTACGAGAGTAGCTCGACTAGCTATAGGTTGCCAACTCGCATGGGAGCCTTGAAAGGCTCAACCAGTAAGGGCGTCTACACAGTCCATAGGCCACTAACTCTCGTGGTAACCGTGAAGGGTTCAACCTGTAGGGGAGACCTCGCGAAGAAGGCTAACGAGGATCGTCCGAGCTGAAATGAGGTTGGTAGAGCTGCTTAATCAGTTGGCCATCAACTCCTGCGGGAACCATGAATGGCTCAACTTACAAGGGCGGCCTTACTGAGGTGCTTGTTGCCTGATTGCTGGTTATTGAGGTCATTCTGCCACTGGTCGTTTTGTGGTGGCATGAATGCACTGAACTTCTTCTCCCATGCTTG